TAATCAACCTCCGTGGCCTCTATCGACTCAATTCAGCACATATCCCCCGTGTGATTCACTCGGTGAATTTGTTCCATTCAGTTTGAGATGAGTTGCGCGCGCATTTCGTGAGTCAGTTGCGTGTTTTCTCCCGCGGATCCGCTCTCCTTCGCGTCTAGTTTGTTTGGGTTTTTACGCCGACCAGTTCGACCCGACCCGCGCTCCGATTCGGTGCACTAGCGCCACACCACCGCGTCTCCATTTCGTCTTTGATTGTGCGTTTTTTATCCGCGTCTACTCGTTTTCGATGAAAAAAATAAACAAAATTGGATTTAGTTTATAGTAGGTTCTTATAGAAAACACGTTACGACATTTTCGATCTGCCCCAGTTAACTCTTTCGATGTGCTTGCGCTTGAATCACGCGCCTAGGGTGCGTTTACGATAACGCATGACTCACCGTTGCGCTTGTAGGTGTTGTGTATGAATGAAGTGACGTCACCTCTGGATGGCGGAAAGTGTATCGTTTTTCACTCGCCTTTCGGATGAGGTCATCGAGTGTGTGCTTCATTGAGTTCAGCATCGAGGATTTGTTATTTTATGCATCGTATTGTACTCGTTTTCACTATCGTGGCTTTGTGCGGTCAGATCCGATATTGAATGTGATTTTGTGGCTTGTTTTCTTCTGCGCGATCTCAGTGTCGGACAGAAGGGGTGTTTGACCCTATTAATTTGTTGTTGACCATCGGCATTAGTGCTTCTTAGAAATCTTTTCGTCTTTTTTTCGTCTGAAAACAATAGTTTCCTATCAACTCATTATAGATTCTAAGAGCCAAAATCTTGATCCAAGGAGTATTTCTTCATAGTATCGAATGACGGCGTAATCATTTTTAAAAGTATTCGAATTTTGAAAATCCATCATTACCAGACTTTTCGTCTTTTTTAGCGCTTGTGCCATTTTGTTTTAAATTTCTCTATTTATTGCCTATTTGTATGCCTTTTTTTATTAGCGTGCAGAAAGTCTGTGAGAAGCCTTGTAGATAACATTCACATACTAATTGAAACGAAGAGTTGGAAACGTACGAGGGGCGTTCAATAAGTAAGTATCCCCCCCTCTCTAAAATCCATTAAAATGGACCAATTTTAAAAAACTTGGGCTCAAAATCTTTCTTAGGATATTCTGAGTTCAACAAAACAAACCGCAACAAAATCGGACTATGTGCGGCCAAACGCGAGCCGTTTGAACGCGCCGAGGTGCTCGACGCTCCCGCCGAATCTGCGGGGATTTGAAGTCCGCGACGCAGGAGAAGAGCTTCTCTGCCAAAGCCTCAGTCGTTCATCACTGACAAAAAATCAAAGAAATTTTTGTAGAATAAGGGACTTACCTCACTTCTCCACATAACCAGCTCGATCCAAGCAGGTCTGATACTGAGACTAAGAGAACACGCTTTTGGATGCCACGCGCGTGGAAGTGTTTCAGCTGACCGGGGATGAAAGACTTCCACGCGCGTGGCATCCAAAAGCGTGTTCTCTTAGTCTCAGTATCAGACCTGCTTGGATCGAGCTGGTTATGTGGAGAAGTGAGGTAAGTCCCTTATTCTACAAAAATTTCTTTGATTTTTCGTCAGTGATGAACGACTGAGGCTTTGGCAGAGAAGCTCTTCTCCTATCGCGGACTTCAAATCCCCGCAGATTCGGCGGGAGCGTCGAGCACCTCGGCGCGTTCAAACGGCTCGCGTTTGGCCGCACATAGTCCGATTTTGTTGCGGTTTGTTTTGTTGAACTCAGAATATCCTAAGAAAGATTTTGAGCCCAAGTTTTTTAAAATTGGTCCATTTTAATGGATTTTAGAGAGGGGGGGATACTTACTTATTGAACGCCCCTCGTATTTTTCATCAATAAGGAGTAATGGATTCAAGTTGCGAAAAAGGAGGAAACGAGAGAAAGAAGCCGACGAGAGGAAATGAAAGGAAGGAACGAAGATTCGTGCGTGATTTTCGCACCGCTTTAAATCTTCAGGGAAGCGCAGAAATCTATTAATTCCATCAGATGTAATTAATTGTAATCCAGCTTCTGTCAGAGCTATGTCCGGTGGATTCATCTCTTGCTTTCATGTAGGAATGCAGGAAGCCATCTGTTGAAATTCATCCGCTGGGAGCAAAAAGTATGATACAACTATTTTAACTCCTGTGCCGCTCAAATTGCATAACCCTCCAGTTGAAGGAAAACTCAATTCTAGCCAGCATTTTCGCCGCACACCTTGATACTCCAAGATACCCTACCATTTTTCGATCTTTTACTTATATTCTCCTTCTTGTATCTCGTTTCTATACATCTTTATTTTCTCCTTGTACTGCTGAGCCTTGATCTGAACGGAACCTTCGCACAAAAACTGAAATACGGGCATAGAGAAGTTTTCCTTCAATTGGGCGGTTATGCAATTTGAGCTACGCCTTAGAGCCCCAACAATTAATTGTATCACACGTTATCCTCCTGGTGCGAGAGTTTCAGAAATCTGTTTTTGCAACTTCAGGGTTTTCCTCCCTTGAGACTCATACTCATAGCAACTAGATGTGATTCTTGTAGATGAGCATTGTTTGCTGTGTTAACTATCTCTACTACGATCATTTTCGAGAACACTCAGGAAAATCGCGATACGTGCTCAATCATATTTGAATCTCTTGTTCTCTGATTTTTTTTCCAGACGTCCCTTATTTATTTTTCCGTCTCCTCTTTTGAAAGCGTTACTCTCTATTGACGGGAAATATTTTCAGCACTTTTTTGTTTTTAAAACGAAAATTGATGAGTACCACATTCAGCGAATGTGTCCGGTAAATATGTACAGTAAATTAAATAAGAACTAGCCAAGGGGAAAAAACAGGAAAAAAATAGTTCGAGAGCCGCCTGAGAAAGGTGTCCCACCTTTGTCAGCTGGTTTTTTCATTGTTTTCCATCAGTTTTCTTTTG